CCAAGGTAAAGCAGGACCTGTGCAACAAGAGTTGTAGCTTTTGGGTCTGAGAAGGTCAGTGAAATCCCCTCAGGATTTATCGTGAGATCCTGCACCTCAGATTGTAGAACCTTTGTCAGTGCGGCCATTTGGATGAGTCACGGCCATTGCTTGGCCAATGTGCTCTCTGTGAAAGCCTGAGAGAGGGTTTTCTCCCCACTTTCAAGCTTTATTGGCTTCTCACTTTCTATCACCAACCTGCTCATTTTCTTCCAAACTCTTTATATCAGGCTGTCATTCACACAAATGATCTCATTTTATTACTTTCTTTCTCCCCTAACTGGGATACAGGACTCTTGAGGACAGTCACCTTGTGACTCCCTGCTGCATCATTACACCTTGGAACAAGGCCTGGCACAAAACAGATGTTTAACAAATGCTTGTATCATCTCAAATAAACCTGCAAACAAAGAGTGGTCTCATAAACCTCAACTTGTTAGGCTTTAAAATCTGTAATAGCTCTTCCAGTGCCTTGCTTAGTGTGAGGCTCTAGTTTTGACTCCCAGCCAAAAAAAAAAAAGAATGGCTAAATTTTGATATGATACGGTTATGTAGAACTCTTAAAATAGTAACACTGCATTACAATTCCATGTAGTCCTGAAAATCTTTTACCTAAATTATAATTGGAACATAATCTGCTGTAAAGAATTTTATAAAAATGTTACAGCACAACAGTGATAATTTATATTTGCTAAGTAGTTTTTTTTTTTTTGAGACAGGGTCTCACTATTGTAGTGCAGGCTGGCCTCAAACTCATTGGCTTCCTGCTTCAGCCTTCTAAGTGCTGAGATTATAGGCATGTGCTATCACACCTGGCCTATAATGGAAAACTGATTTGATATTGTTTACATTTTTTGTAAGAAAATTTTGAGCTTATGTTACCATAATGATTATTGAATATTTCAGTAATAACAATGTCTATTATACTCTTTAATACAATTCCCTAAATCACACTTAGGAAAATAATTAATTTGTTAGTTTTCTCTCATATATCAGAGGAATTAGAAGACATTAAAAATTACCTCTTTATTCATTTTGAACCACTGATATTGTACAAAAGGATGTCCAGTTGCTCGGCAACATAGTTTCACAAACTGTCCAGCCAACACTGCCTTTGATTCTGGGTTTATAGTGATCTTTATTCCTTTAAAACAAAAAAGTTAAATAAAGCAGTAAGAGTGAGGTTTTTATTTATAAACCTGAAACAAAAATAAATGTTTTGGAAATAACTTGCATAGGTCTTGCTATATCTTGGTCTTAACCAT